AGCGTCGAGCAATCCGCTATTGCCTCGTCGCGGCATCTGAATGCTTTCATTACAAGTGAATGAATGTGTTTGGTTTGAAGGGAGCTCTAAGATGTCTAGTCCTGGAGGGAAAGAAGACGGTCTCATCTCCTCTCCCATAAGCAATGAACTATAACTCATAACATCTGCCTTATTTCCGTCGTTTTTGTTTATGTTTGAGTTCTCGGATGTGAACCCGAGAAGACGATTTTGACTGCACAAGTCACTGGAAGAAGACGATGTGGACAAAGGGAGAGAGAAGCCGAGACTGGTGCTATAATCATCATTGTCAAGGTCAGCGAAAAGATCGAACATTTGGTAGCTCACGGAAGAATCGAGGGTCGGGGTAGGGCTAGAGAAGGGATGGAGGCAAGGCCGAGAAGAAGAAGAGGACGAAGGAGAGGTAGGAGAAGTCCTGCTTCGGTGATTTTTGTGGTTTTGGAATTGAAAAGAAGTTGATTCCTCTTGAGGGTACAGAGGCAAACCCGCCCTCTTCCGCCTCTTCACCCTCGTGTTCCAGTAGTTTTTTATCTCGTTGTCGGTCCGTCCTGGTAACTGTTATGTTATATATAAACCGAATCAAAAAGGGATGTTGTTAGTAAATGTTTTAAAGAATCCGTGAATATATACAAAATTACAAATTTTGGCGAAACATGCGGATGGGTGAATGAATGTGACCTGAGAAGCCATGCGAGCCCATTTGTTGCCAAACTTAGAGTGAAGATGGAGGATGATCTTCTCTTCGTCGGGAGTGAAAGAACCCTTCTTGAGATTTGGTCGGAGATGATTGGCCCACCGGAGCCGACAGCTCTTCCCACATCTCAGGAGCCCTGAGCTCTTCATGACGGCGTTCCAGCTGCCTTCCCCGTGTTTCTTTACGTACTCCCTCAGTACGGCGTCCTCCGCCGCCGTCCACGGCCCCTTCTTCATCTCCCTCTCCGCCGTCTCTCCCCCGCCCATCCGTGTGTGTATATATATATATATGTATATACGTATGTATTTGTGTAGGTATAGGTTAATTGTTTATATATGACGGCGACCCCCCGAGGAGAAAATGATTCTCTTTTACTTTGTAACGTAAATATACAACTATATATATGTGTGTGTGATATATATATAGTTGATTATGTGTAAAGAGGTATATAGATATGGAGAGAGAAGAGGGAAGGGGATGGTGTATGGAGATTGGAGAGATGAAAGAAAGGATAGTATAATACGTAGATTACGTAATGGACTGTTGCTTTTACGTGCTTTAGTTTAACTTTAATGGCCTCTTTTTGTATGTTTCTGCTCTCTTTCCTCTCCCTTGAGAGAGAGAGAGAGAGAGAGAGAGAGAGAGAGAGAGAGAGAGAGAGAGAGAGAGATGAGGTTCTTGTCCGAAACCGTATGTGTTCCTCGTATGTCTTTTGATCTATCTTCTGATCAATTAGAGCTGAGTCAAGGAGAAAGAGGAAAAAAGATTTCTACCAAATGTGATGTGAGATATATTAAATTGGAAAAAATCCAATATTAAGTGGTTCAACTGTTAAGGTAAAGAATGGAGCAAAGTTATTCCTCAATCTGGATTCGAGTTCTCGTTTGAAAAAAAATATTCGTGTAGTTTTCTCGGCCATTTAGAATATGTAGTCGAGCAAACGTAGTCTACTGAACTTTCGAATTATAAAAAAAAAAATATTGGACAAGTAAAGATTTTAAACCAAGTTAATGCATTAAAAACACCTAATTGAAAATTGTTAAAACATGCCATTAAAAGGCATCTTACGAAAATACCAATGAGCAAATTTCTTACAGTTCACATTTCATTAAAAGGAAAAGTCGTATCGTACATTAAATAAATTTTAAATAAAAGGGAGAGGAGTAAGCTTGTTTCACGGCCGAGCATTGCATGCCTAATGTACGTCTCTCTCTCTCTCTCTCTCTCTCTCCTCTTTTATTTTCTTTTTCCCCCACGCCATCCCTCTCTATCCCTCGATATTTTCTTATTTTTTGGACCAAATTTGGGAAATTATTTAGAAATATTTTAATGATTTTAAAGAGTGGAGAGAAAAAAGAGTATGAGTTTATGCGAAATTTAATGCAAAATTACGTTGGCATGATCTCTTAATATGGGGCATCATGGAGATGGAGTCTTCCAAGCAAATTACTTCTAAATATGGCAAAAAGCAGGAAATGTCAAATCTATATCACACTTTCATTTCCTACTTTTTGTTATATAATAATCTGAATTAGTAAATTGAAGAAAAAAAAAATTATGAAGATAAATTAAAGACAATAGGACGAACCATCTTTATTGCCCTTATAAACGTAAATATTAGTGCTAAATGCGTCTCATCTTTTTTTTCGTGAAAAAAGCTTGCCATTATATATGTGAATTAAATTTTTATAGACATGAATTATTCATTGAAAAATGATAGAACCTATACGTTTTCATGTAGATAAAAACTAGGGATTTTGTTATGATTAATTAACAGTAAAAGTACATTATATTATATATCGTAAGTAAAATGGTAATATTTTTATTATATTGCGATTAAAATAGATCAAACGTAAAAAGATTGCATCCAATCTGTCAATATTTTTTATAATTATTTCATTGATTAATTTTTAACAATAGGACTGAATACACACACACACATATATATATATATATATCAAGAATATGCCTATACTCGTATTATTGTATGGGCTTTTACGAGGCCTAAATGTTCATGAAAAATGGGCTTCCAATTTTAGTTCCCCTGTTCGATAAAACTTCGCCTAAGCGGAAAAGAATAACCGATTGAATTCCACTTAATTTAATTAATTTATCATCACCCGAAAACTCAACAAACCAATTATGTAAAAAAAAATTATGAGTAAATATATTTTAGCATAAAAAATAAAAATAAAAATATTGTTCCATGAATCTTGCAACGTGATTTTATTCGATTTATTTTTCTGGATTTCAAAATTTATTAGCTTTCTCTAACGATTATGTAGACGATGAAGGTGACGAAAATGACGACAATGATGTGCCAAATTTAACGGTTCGAGATTTCGTATAAAAAAAGATGCTTAGTTTATAATAAATTGGAATTGTATTATAATATTTATTTTAAAAATCTGATTGAAATTTCTAAAGCACGCCGAAGTTGAAAAGAAACATGAAATCAAAGAGATTTGACCAAAAAGATATATGAGAATCTGAAAGGATCCAATTGTCGAACAAATCTTAAGGTTTGGTGCATGAGCACGTGATTAAATTAGGGTTGTACGGAACATCTTTCTTAGCATTCAACAATCCCTACGCTTATTTATTCACGTTTCACTCTATCCTATAAAAATTCTGAACATTTCTCACTATACAACGTTGTACTGTAATGATGAAAAACAGAACACAGTAGATATAGGTTGGAGCTTTATGTAAACATAAAAGATGGAATTATTTGTAATAAATTAATGGAGAAAATTAATTTATGGAAAATCTATTTATAAAACCCCACTTTCTTTTTCTTGTTCATCACCCTCCTCTCAGGGCACTCCCGTAAGGCCACCAGATTCAATGAACCTCGAAACTGCCAACTCTTATGTTCTTGTTTTTTTTTTCCTTATCTTAAATTTTTAAAGAAATATATGTTTTTTTTTTGCTCTTGGCAGCTTTTCGGTAAAATAAATAAATGTTGTGAAAATAAAGCCATTAATATAACTTATATCAGATCGTATGATTATGAGGCTCTCCTTGGTGTTTCAGAACCTGAGCTGCGAAGAGAGTGATTCTCCAATGGCTTCTTCCTGCAGGTATGTCTGTCTATATTCATATCATATTATATGCATATATATATATATACATGTACATGAACAAATATCATACATAATTTATACACAGAGTTGAAAACAATAAAAACGTGGTTACAGACCATTACCCACATAGCAGTTTTGTCTAATTAATGTGCACCATGCCTATATATATGCTTTCTTTGAAAGCTATGGTTGATTCTCTAATCTTCCAATCAAAATTTGTTCTTTCATCATCTACGAGCTGTTTAATTTCTATACGATTTGCTAATTAGACATTTTTGGTAAAACCAACCCGATCAATCGAAAGACATGGCGAGATTGAACATGGGGATGTTTACCGGTTCCGGTCTGGTTCGATTATTTCACGTGGTTAAACCGGTGCAGATTTTTTTTCACAAACTCTACACGATACATGTGCGTATGAACGGATCTAGATATTAAGATCGTGAATATATATACAGCCCTAACATTAATTTACTTATTTAGACTAAATTATATACGATTAATATTAGTGTATACAATATCATCGAATTAATATTTCATTTTTAGTCGTGTTATTAAATGTTTTAAATATTAAATTTAATTATGTGTATTAATGCATATATGATTTCACATCAGGAGGATATTAATAATATTAGAGATCAAGGGAGTATTAAGCGTGAAGGAATCAAGGTGGAGAAAACTAATTAAGGCGAAACAATAATTTGAACAACTCTTAATTATACGAAGATGATAATTGTATCAATCATGCTTCGCGATTCGAAGCATGAGACAGAGTTCCCCTCGCAAGAACTTCAATTCTCTTTATTAAATAACACAAAATAATGGTTAAAGTGATTTAGTTATTAATTAATTATCATTAGATGCGAACCCTTTTTTTGTATCATCCTTCTTATAATTGTATGGAATATTACTTAGATGTATGAAATTTTCTTACATCGCACCAAATACGATGTCGAAATGGACTGTGTTGAGTACTTATATATATATATATATATATAAATTACATGCTTTTATAAGTATTATTCTCAAATATACGTACGAATCGTCGTTGTGAATGTAGGATACTAGCTTCTAATATTGGTGTTCCTATTGAATTGGATTCGGAAGCCAAGTGAATATTTCGGTTATCAATGATCAAATTGAATCGAATCAATCCGAACAATATATATTTGTTATATGAACCTGATTTAAAAACTGGTTACAAATGATTTTTTAAATTAAATTTATCCCATCTTAGAAAAAATAATTGAGAAGCTAATAAAAAATGAAATATCTTTAAAGATGAATTTTTTTTAATTGAAATCCAGATTCAAACCGACATCACATAAAATTTTGAATTGTATTGAAAATGGAAATAAAAAAAGGAATGGTTATATCTTATACAAAATAAAAGAATTTAAAATAGAAAACGATCTAAATAAAAACATAATTTTGAGCCTGAAATTCCACCCAACGAGTAAACAATACAATATTTATGACATGGTTGAGACACCGTACTTTATTAGAGTAGAGAGCATGTGAAACATATTTTATTTTCCCCCATTTCCAAATGTTGACTTTGTCGGCTCCGTCCTCCACCACAAACAGATTCGAATTCGAAACGCAGTTGTTTCGATATATATATACATATATATATATATATATATATATATATATATGCTTTGTAATTTATAATGTGATTTATTTTTTCATAAAACTTATTAACAAAATGGGAATTGTTAAAAGATTCCTACGGACGCCTAACCAAACAGACCAAACCAAGAAAGACAAGTTGGCATCTCAATAAACCCCATTGCCATTACATCCCAAAATTATAGTAGAAAAATTCATAAGACCAAAATTTTATTTTGAAAATTTTAAACAAAACGATTACTTCCGAAACAATAAATTTTTTTTTATCATGAATTATTATTACAGAAAACAAATTTATATGAACAATTCCCACTAAACCCTAATCTAATTTCTCTAAATTCGTATGGACCCACCAATCAGAGTTCTGTCGCATCTCTTCCTCACTGTGACCCAATCACCACCCTCCAAATCCCATGTGGGCCCCGCGTTTCCAACGCTCCACAACCGTCCGATCCTCTCCTCGTGAGACACCCACCCATTTGGACGGTCCAGATTCTCCTCTTCCTCGGCTTCCTCCACCGATCCCCAAAACAACTCATCCATCACACTCGTCGGCGAATTCGACATCGAACCGGAAACCGGATCCGATTTGGCATCTGGTTTAGCAAGAAACGGATGGTTTAGAAGTTGGTTGGCCGTCCATCTCTCCTCTGGGTGTCTCTTGAGACACTTTTGCAAGAAATCCTTTGTTGGTTCCGTAAGGCAGCAAGGTATCTCCGGCGACTCGCCGGAATATCCTATCCGGTACAAAACCGAAACCGGGTCGCCGGAATCTATCGTCCACGGCAGTGAACCGGTGGCCATCTCAATGACCGTACAGCCCACGGCCCATATATCGCTCTCCATCCCCTGTTTTTCCCCACGTGCCACCTCCGGCGCCATGAATGCCGGCGTACCCCGAACCGTCTCGGCCGAGTCAGATTCCGTGTCGACGCGTTTGGCGCACCCGAAGTCCGCGATCTTAGCGTCGCCGTTTTCTCCGATCAGGACATTACTCCCCTTGATGTCGCAATGAGCGATTCCTTTAGAGTGAAGGTACTCTAATCCGCAGAGTATGTGGCGCGTGTACTTCACGACCAAGTTTTCTTCGAGCCCACCGCCGTTCTTTGCCGCCTTGTCGGCCACCGTACCGTACGGAGCGTACTCCATGAGAATACTGTACGTGTCGACGCCATCGGGGTTATTGGTAATTCCACATCCCCTGTATCCGACAACATACGGAGAACTCAGAGATGAGAGAATCTTGGCCTCTCTTTCCAAGAGCTCCGACCGGGAGAGCTCGGCGGATTTCACGGCGATGATATCGCAGGAGTTGTGATACGTGGCGGCAGATACGGTGGCGCAGGAGCCGCGGCCTATTGTTCTGCCCTTCGTCCATTCCATTTGGAGAAGACAAAGGAAACTTCTGAAGAAAAACAAAGGTTTTTTTTTGTCTCTCTTGTTTTCCACACTGCTCATTGATAAAAGGTCTTTATATAAGGGACTATTTTATTTTTATTTTTCTTAATTATAAGGGTATTCTTTTCTTTTGGTAACATCCATTTCGTCTACCAACAGAAAAAAAAACTAATTTAAATAAATAAACGTACGATCGTCCCCATTTAGACACGTGGGGTCTTTGAAAAGTTGATAACTAATTATAACCTGATTCGATGTGATTTTATTATGATTATCTTTCAATAAATAATATATCGAAAAATCATTATTTATTTTTTATATAAACATTCAAATTCATGTGTATCATTTTCTCCAATATTTTTCATGTATTTAGTAAGTGAACATTCGATAATACAGAAAGAGTTTTCAGCAAAAAAAAAAAGCGCATAATAATTTCTGAGTCAGCGATTCGAAGTGAGTACGTATCCAACGCAGGTTCGATGGGGTGACGTGGCACTTTTCTAGGATTTGATCGTCGTTCATTGTTTTTAATCTCTAAAAAGTTCAAAACGCGATGACGTGTGGTTAAAATACTCTTCCGACAGTTCCGTACATTTCTGGGGACACGTGTCAAAAGAGTTAGGGTGTACAAGTGGCCAACTTTTTTTTTTTTTGCCAAGAAGAAGAAGGTTTTACAAAATTTTGGTTTCAAAATGCGGAGAGGAAAAGGTTGGGCACTTGGAACGTTTCATAATGATACGTACAGTTTGTATATGTTTACATCAAATGGTTTAATTAGTTTTTAATTAGAAGGGCTAAACTTTTATTAAGCTTGGAAATGATCCTCATTTGAAATTGAAAATATTGTAGATCCGGATTTATTTCAATTAAAGGTTGACACTAGAGAAAACAAAAAGAGTTATGTTATTATCAATATAAAAAAAAATCATTGTTTTTTCAATGAAAATATATCTAAGAAACTAAACATTCAATTCTTTTAATTATCAATCTAACAAAATAATATCACAGCATATATACCTTCAGGCTAGAGTCTCGAAAATAATGTTAGGGATTTTAAAAATAGAAATATTTTTTTTTTTTCCGTATTAGAATGATCAGTTTTGAAAAACAAAAAAACTTAAATTATATGAAAATGTGTTATACATTTTATGTATAATTTATATATGAACCAGATCAACCATTTCACATAAATAATCACATTTTAAATTATATGTATCTACTTACGCGTGGTTGGATTTATATTATATTCTTGTAGATTAATAAATTTATTTTGTAAAAATCCTTGGAAAAATGAAAAGTATCAGACCAAAGAGCCTAGAATTTGGGGTTGTTTTAACCACCATTGGTCGAATTATGAAATAAATTAATCAGTGTCGAATATGATTACGCCTGTTTATGATTAATTATAACATATATATATATATATATATATATATCAGATTAATATAAAACTACGATATGTATTGTAATCATATTACCTTTCCTTTTTCTCATGAAGTACATCTAAAAATCATTTTCAATATAGAAAAAAAATACAACATATACATACACACACATTATATTTTACGAATTTAATTCTGAAACATTGTACCATGATACTAAAAATTTGTTACAATTTTGTTTTATTGTTTTTTATTTTATTTTTCATAGAAATCAATATATTCCATAATTTAGGAATTTTCATTCTGTCATTGGGTATATTATAAATATAAAAAGAGGACTAAACCAATGAATCAAGTACGTAAAAAGAAATAATTAATATTGATCACAATTACATCATATGCTTTTTCCGGTCAGTCAAACAAATATATATATATATATAGTTTGTCGTAAACTTGCATGAACAAGCGACAACCTGGGATTACCTAAGATTTGCTCGTGAAGGGTAAGAAAACGGATTGGTGAGACAATTACCTGTTCATTATAAAATGCAACAGTTAACTGTCTACTGCTATAACTAAATTATTTAGATTATATTAAACAAAATGACATTTGAAATCTGTATCAATCCAATGGACACACTATTTTTTTCATAACTTCCTATAATATAAAAAAAAACTTATTTATACCCATGAAAGATCAAATTTAAAAAAATGCAAGTTAAAAGTATAACCTGATACGCATCGAGAAAAATGGACCCGCTTTTGTTGCGTCAAAAACAAAAATTTAAGATAGAGTATAAAATAAGCAAGTTTTATTGGATTTAAAAAAAATACAAAAAAGTTTTTTAAAATGATCATAGAATGATGATGTTATATCAATATATATCTGGAAAATTAAACTATCCGACTATTGTAATCTAAGTTCTAACTCTAGTTATTTTTATGAAATCATTGGAAAATCATTTACATTATGTCATGTTCAAGTTTAAAAAAAATATTGGGTTAGTCCGATACGGATGTTCATCTTATTTAATAAATATATGTATATATTCTTACTAGTATGTGACTTAAATTTTATATATTTAAACGCTAATAACATGGTCAAATAACAATAGCAATAGCGATATAATAGATATACAACATTTACATATAGGCTTTGATTTTGTACCATAAAAACTAATGCATTTCGGGGATAAAAAACTCAAACAAACCATCCCCAATAAATAAAATTATGTACTGATATAATAATAATAATAATAATAATAATAATAATAATAATAATAATAATAATAATAATAATAATAATAATAATAATAATAATAATAATAATAATAATAATAATAATAATAATAATAATAATAATAATAATAATAATAATAATAATAATAATAATAATAATAATAATAATAATAATAATAATAATAATAATAATAATAATAATAATAAGGTGTTGGTTTGAAGAAGTTGAAACGAAGAACCAAATCAAAGAACAAACTGAAGTGTCAAAAAGTCACAACTAATGTTATCACTAATTATTAACCGCACTATTTTAATTAGAGGTTGGTGTTTAGCAGTCACGAAGAAGAACATATTATCTTCTTATGTGTGGTTAAAGAAAAAGTACATAATTTTATTTCCTGTGAAAATCTTTAGAATTGATAATGACGAATAAATCTTATTTAATTTTATAGTTTAAAATCAATTTAATTTGATGTTCTTTCTTTCTTTTTAATTTACTTGCCTATTTATGATAAGGTTACTCAACTGAAATGTGTTCCACAATGTTGCTAGCCTATTGAGTTACATGAATGTATTTTTCATGATTTCATAAACAATGGAATTTAATTTTTATAAATCCTTAATTTTATGTTTCAATACTCCCCAAAACAATTTTTTGTTAATTTACAATTATTAGTGTATATATATTAAAAACTATTCTCGGTTTCTCATAAATTAAAAAATAGAGGATTTAAACCTAAAGCATTGGAAACTTGGTATAGAATGTTCAAAATTTTTATCCCTTAAACAGAAGTCAGGGTTCGAACCCTATCTTGACAAATGGAACAACTTTTTATATCAGTTTTTTACCGTTTAGTGTGGTGACCCAAAAATAAACGAGGATTAATATGAATATGCAAAGTTTAAAGGCATCGTTTAATGATTAAATGTCATTTATGATATATCGTGCTATATAAAAAAAACAATTTAAGGCAAAGACGAATTAACGGAAATTTATTTTAAAAACATGATTTTTAATGCGTGGCTTATAAGTTATAAAAACTAGAAGGGGGGGGGGCGGGGGGCTAATCTTCTTCCACAAGCAATTCACGTGTGTGGCATGCTTTTACTTACATTATTATCATTATGTATGCATGCAGTCTTTTAAACACTTTAAAACGTAGACATCACAACAAAAAATATTATCTTTTTTTATATTTGTGTTAATTAATATAGTTATGAATAATTTTGGCTTTTAACCAACTAACAATTAATAAAAGTATTCCACTCATGCATGTCTCCAAATTAATTTCCATAACTATATTTTTTTTTTGTTCAATGTTCAATATAATTTTTTTCATCAAATAATTCATTTTAATCTCCAAAATAATAATAAGAGAAAATCCTCAAAAAACATTGAATTTTTCAAGTTTGACAAAAAAAAACCATTAAACTTTTGATTTTGTCAAATAAACATTAATCTTTTAAAATTTGTCAAAAAGACATTTAACTCTTTTACGATTATCAAAATAAATAAATGAGTGACATAAAAAATATAAACACGTCAAATTATTGTCGTTTTTTTACAATTATATATAGTTCATGTATTTTTTTTAATCATTTAAAAGTTTAGTATTTTTTGACAATTGCATAGAAGTTTTATATACTTTTTTGGATCATTTAAAAAGTTTAGTGATTTTTTAAACTCATTTAAAAATTTAATATTTATTTGACAAAAACAAAGTTCAGTATTTTTTCCATAATCAAAATTATAAAATTTAGTGTTTTTTTATTTTACCTAATAATAAAATACTTACCGGTATCTTTTTACATTTTCCTGTTATATATTCGGACATTAGAAAAGTGAAGTGCAAGAAAAAAAATGATGATTACGGAAGTCTGAGTTAAAAAAACTTTGTTAAGACATCACCAAATCTAAATTAATTAGAACATTTTAATTACGCTAAAATCATGAATTAAGATATTAACCAACCAATGCAGGACACGTGTCCGACCAGCCACCCACCACCGTCTTCTCGGTGATGAGCTTTTGCCCACCCGTTCTCTCCCTCGCGTGGGTCCTCATATCACATCTGATGGGTTTTTATATATTTTCTATACTTTTTTTTGTGTATATATATATATATCTATACTTATAACTATCTTTTTATTAAATCGTTATTAAAATGCATATGGAAAAGGAAATAAAATTTTGTCGGCAAAAGAAAACGAAAACTTGTCGGCTTATACTTTAAGAATTTGACTCATCAAATATAGTGCGTGTATCTTTTTCGAAATTAAATGTATGAACGGGGAATAACAAAACACCCTAAGCATATATATAATTTTAAAGGAAAAATATAAGTATTCTTCACATAATGACATAAGAAAAATATAAAAGTGACAACAAAAATGATAATACCAGCAAAAATCCAATAAAAAAAACTTCCTGATTGACAAGGCAATCTTAGTATTTGCAAAATTTATTTGACGGCTTAACCGTTTTGTATAAACAAGTGGTAAACATATACAATATATACGACCGACGAACGATACGCACATTACATATGCATCAACAGACACTGCGTTAAACAGTGGACCATTTCGGGGGGTGGGGAGGGCTCCCTTTTTCACTGCATGAAACACGTGCGATAATAATCTGGAATTTCTCCAAGTAGTTCGTGGAGCGAAGAAAGATCGTATAAAATAATACATAAAAGAAAATAAGACGGACTGGCGTGCCATCGGTTTTCGCATTCATGCCAAGAAACATGATTAGGGAATTGATTTGATTTTTTACTTGTCAATTCAGGATTAGTTGTGGCGCCTATGTCAATGTATACATTTAATTATGTTTAATCGTTTTCCATTATATACCAAGACCAGCAATATCGTCATTTAAACGAACTGAAAATACTCAAATAATCAAATTTAAACTATAGTCAATATGAAGTCTATTATTTTTGGAGGATTCTGTATATCATTGTTCGTATAGAGACTGTTGTTTGAAGGCTGGTTTCTTTCCCACTGTTTTAGGGTTTTCTTTCTCTTGGTGGTTTGCTTCCATCCCTTATTAGTGCTAGGGTTAGGGTTTGTTCCCTCGCTTCTTGCTAGGGTTTGATGCTTTCCTCATAGTCCGAATCAGTAAAAGTCTCTTTGCCCCCTCGGGGCTCCTGTTCAGGAAGCCATGCCTGTTACCAGGTTAGGGATGAACCTCGTCTCTCACTCCCGATGCTTTCATCATCTTCTCTTCCAGCGCCTTCGCTGCCTGTGAAAAACCATATTACGTGGATTCAATTTTCGGATTATCCCTTCCATCCCATCCGAGATGAATTATAAAACCCCGTGTGTGTAAGATCTAAGGAATGTGAGTTCCAGATACAGGATTGATTGTTTACAACACTTTGAAATGTAACGTTGCATACCGTGACATCAGAGAAACCGACGAAATTGTCGAGCTCCCCGAAATGGGCCTGAACAGGTGCCTTAGCCTGAGCTGCATCTGCAAGGTCCGCATAAAAGCCAACAACAGCATCAACCTCTGGTACCAAAACAGAGCTAGCGATAGCGAGAGCACCTCCCATGCACATTCCAGTCACACCAACCTTTTTTTTGCCAAAATTCCAATTTTTTTGTTTTTGTCAGTAAGAATCTCTCGACAATGATAACCACAACATGGGATTTCTAGTTTTGTTAAAGACCCATTGTCAAGGCATGCATTCCACAAGCCAAGAACCAGAGGAAGCTAAAAACCGGCAGTTTATGCATTTAAGCGCATTAGAGACTCAGTTACCTTCTTCGAACCATTGGTCTTCGGCGAATTGACAGAAGCACGTATGTCTTTGACAGCACCTTGTCATCTCGAGGCCATCCATCAGATGCTGTGCCTCTTCAGCATCAAGGCCAACTTTTCTTCCGTATAATCTTCAAAAAATATCGAAAGAAGAACACTCTTAGCAAAAGATGACCAAATGAGCCATAAAACACCAAAACTAAGTAAATCTTGCAAGGCAAAAAAAAGGTACTACTTACTCGGGTATAAGGGTTTTGAAACCAGGCCCTAGTTGTGAGATTTTAATGGCATGGTTCTTGAACTCAAAGTCAACACCCCACCACTCTTGAACTACGACAATCCCAGGAGCTTCATCTTGTCCGACCACATACGCATCAAACGTCTGACCACACCAAAGGGATCACAAATTGTAAATGAAAAGACGCTGAATAGACGAAAGTATTCTGAGAGACGAAAGGTGTATATCCAAGAAAACACACAATACATTTCCAAGAGCTTGCATAGGCAAAGGCAGTGCGTTTCCAACATCCACAAACTTACACATAAACTCAAGCTAATTCTTTCACGAAGCATGAAACTGTAAACATGACTAAGCCAAAACTCTGCCTGCCACTCAATTGATAAGCTGAAACTCGATCACTAGATTCCTACGAGAAACATGTCAAACCCCAGCACTGAAAACCCAAATTTCTTTCGTTCTTCTCAAATAAGCAGTTTTATACATACATCAATTTTCAGGACTGGCTAAGAAACATCGATACTTGTCACTCCCGTTCCCATTCCCAGCTTCTATACCACTAAACAACGAGTACAGAACAGCACATTCGAGCATACACTGAGAAGCAAATGCTTCCTATCCTACATCAGCAGATCCTACATCAGCAGAACACAATCTTTGACGAAGAGCCGTAATTAGAGATCTAATTCCGAGATTCATCAAGCCGATCGAGGGTAAATACAATCAGACATAATCCTGCGTCGAAAAACCAATCAATGTTCTGACTCCCCTACAGAAAAATCAGACGGAATCCATTCGATACCCAGACACTCCGAAGCCGATCGAATCTTCTCAATTCTGATACACCAGCCAAAATGAGATAGAAAAGACTTACGGTGTCATCTCTTTGGATCTGGATCTTCTTGAAGGAAGAATCAGAAATTGCACGGACGGAGACGCAAGAAAAGGAGGGGAGAGAAGATGCGCTGAGGAGGAGAAGAAGATTCTGTAAGATGAAGACGACTTAGACGAGGACAGTAGCTCTCCTCTTTAAAAAAAAACTATTATGCGAAAACAAAAGTGTTCATGGTACACCTCAGGATTCATACGACGTCGTTTTCCCCCAATTTAAATTTTCTTAGCCTTAGGCCCATTACAGATCTATTTCATTTATCTTATGGGCCCAATTAATATCTATTTTTATTTATATTCTCAGGTAATAAAACCCAACATAAATGACTATAATTTTTCATGCAATAGTCAAACACAATGAAATTATATTTCAGACATTTAAGCTAATTCGATTGTACAATTTCGTTTTAATCATTCCCCAATTTCATTTCTTTTTTTCTTTTTTCTAACTTATTTTTACTCTCGAAAATATAAATCTGGGATTTACGGGTAAATAGATTTTTATTTGACTTGCAACATTTCCTAAAATTACATCTTATTTTGTCTTCGTGAAATAACATTTTCCCTATTTATAACATATCTGTCTCAATAATACACATATTTAGGTAAGTACAGTTCAACGAGTTTATTATAGATATAATTAAACGGTTAAGATAATGTTATTAAAATTTTAAATTGTGTTGCCAGTATCAGAGAGTACAAACATTACATTTGTCTGAATTTAACACAGGTTAACTTATTATTTTTTAATTTATTTGTAATTAAAGCTTTTTATTACTTACCATTTACTACCATTATTAGTGGAAATGACCATTTCACCCTTGCCCTCGAAGCTAAATTACTATATTCTAACACATTCGTTTTTTCTCACATTTTTTCTGTCCTTTATCCTTTGTAATTAAGTATTATGACGGTAATTGTTAATTATCTTATAATAGTTAATAATATTATCATATTCAAACGAAAATAGATGATATTTAACAATCCAGATTTTTTTATTTCATAATGACTAAATAAAAATCTATCATGTTTATGAAATGTAGCACTGAATTCGGGATTATAATATAAATGTATAATTTTAAGATGGATATATAATTATCAAATTTATGGGAGATCATATTTTTATAAATTGGGACTATTTTCATAAACCCATTTTTAAATACTGTCATTAAGGTAAAAGAATTAAAATTAGGCAGAGGGTATTTTGGTCCACACGGTTAACAGATTCCATTGTTCATTAATTCAAGCCAAGCGCGCTCCTTCGTCGGCCTCGGCTATATAGCCCTTCTTCTTCTTCCACTCCTCTACTGCCTGCCAAAATCACTACACTCCCGAATCGCCAAAAAAAAAATAAAATCCAGAGAGGATTTTTTCCGGTGACTGTGTTTCCGCGGGGAAAAAAATGCTGAACCTTCCGGATTCTCTGTACGAGGACTACAATCTCATGGTGACTCGGTCCTCCGCCGCCGGAGCTTCCACCAGCCAACCTCCGCTCTCCGTCGCCACCATCATCCGCTGGATCAACGATCTTCAGTTTCCGGCGAGTCGAGATTTGGCCCTCCAGAATCTCGCCGACGTATGCCACCTCTCTCTCTTTTTTTTAGTAAAAAAAAAATCTGTGCTCTCTTTTGCTCGTTCTTTTTGTGTTAATTTTGGTCGATTTGATGTTTGATTTCGTATCCATGAATTCATCGATTCGAGAGAAAGTTGATGTCAATTGATTTTGGGTAAATCTAGAGTTGATTTGTTTCTTGCTGCGTAGGTAATAATGATGTTATTAGCCTCGGCTGTGCGGCTGTTTTACTCATATGATCGGAGGGATTTTGGTTTCCATTTTTTCGTTTTCTGACCTTTAGGTTGCAATCCATGGAAGTGCGTGTTTTCTATTTCGTATTTTGTTTGAAAATCTGATTGCTTGAGAAGAAAACTTGTCGTTGTGACTAATTTCGGCCTTCGTTTTTTGTGATCATCGTATCAAAATTGTCATTATCTTGTTGAATCCTGGGAGAGATTTTGATCTGTTCTGACTGTGATTGTCCCTCTTTTGTCTTCATTCGGAAATTATCAGATAGTAATCTCCATAATATCATTACCTACGCAGAGATTCGATTAGCGGTTTTTGGATCATTTCTGCAATGATCTCGTCGTCTTGCATCCCCTAGTCTTTTGTTTTCTGATTCGTGCTCCTGTGATCACCGAGTGTTGGTGTCTTGATCTCCTTTCCTCTGATTAGTTTACGTGATGTTATCTTTTTTTGTTGTTCGTGTATTTCTTCTCTTCATGTCATATGGGGTAATTCTTATTTCAAGATAGATAACAATCTATGGTCCATAATTGTCCTTATCATGTTATAGTTTTCCTTTGCTTATTTGGTAATGATCAATTAATACGTATTCTAACAAAAATTAATATCTTGAGATATTTCTGAGAAATAATAAACTTTTAAATCCTCGAATAAAAGGAAAACTCATAAATATTTTTCATTTTCCTTCCATATCGGGGGGTCGCCAGAGATTTATCCTAGCATTTTATTATGTCCTTACTCATTTTACAGGATGCATTGCGCGTAAGAGATTGTTGTTGCTGATATGAGTATTGTATTGACTGTCTATGAATCGTTTATGTTACTTGAGACATAATAGCTATACATCTAACTCTAGTTTTTTTATCAGTTGTGTCACATAATAAGGCGGAAAACGCATGTTTGCGAAGGAAATTATATGGAAAACTCAGAAATCATCAAATAATCTCGATTTTCCGCTGTTTACACGGTTTTAGGAATATGTATTGAGATAAATATAAACGACAACTCAAGAATGGCCTTTTCCCAATTGTTTCTCCATCTTTGAGATAAAATCTCATGGCTCCAGCTCCCCTGAAAATTTCTTAGAAGTAGGATGAATCCTTTGCTTTTTGGTTTCATGTACTTGTCATTGTATTTTTTTTAGACATGAAAGCTAAATTCTGTGTCGATTTCATGATGCTCCTGAAAAGATTACAGAAATCGAAATAAAGTTTTAGTGGGAGAGTTGTATCTCACCCCTAACTCGTGCATGATTTTCGCCGTTAAATGAATTTGTTTTCCAGTGCATTAATTCGAATGTTACATATCTCATTCATCCTTTCTTCTTTCTCAGAATAGGGACAGCTTTGAGGATTTAGCGTTGCTCTTATGGAGTTCTTCAATCCCGATTAGCGCACTGTTACAGGTAAAATGGAAATACTTTGCTTCAGTAGACTCTGGGGGGAATAAACATAACTCCAACGAGTGAGTCTTCTTCTGTCTTTGTTGGTTTCGGTCCCATCTTCTTTAGTTGGGTTCATCTCATTCTTGATTCTAGTATCGTTTTTTCCATCTCTTATCTTTGTAAAATTCCTCGCTGTTTGTGTTTATACTTGATAAGGTTAACTTATAGCTATCTTAACTACTTCTATCTCTTCAGGAGGTCATTGGAGTGTACACAGAGCTTTCATCGCCTGTTTTGTGTCCGAGGTTATCAACTCGAGTGTACAATGCTCTCCTTCTGTTTCAGGTTCTTTAGTTTCCAACGATTCTTCCCCGTTTTTTAGAAGTATACCAATTTGTTTCTTGAATCAATCTAAACCCCCTGTATACATTTTCGAGGCTACCAATAATCCAACCCTTAATATAACCATTTTGTTCCTCTCAAAAACCATATTCTTTATAATTGCCTTTGGGCGGAAGTCGATAATGTGTCTAAATGTTGGTTGTCCCATTGGGGTTCTGACGGCTATGGCTCTGCAGTATCAGATGTAACAAGTTTTTCTCTCTTCTGTTACAGTGCATAGCCTCTCATCCCGAGACAAGGGCAAAATTTCTTAAGGGTAAGCTTTCTTCTTCAATTGTCAGTCTATTTCTCATGTTAATGTCAGTCTTGAAACCTTCAAAACCCCCAGTCGAAGGAAAAGTGTCCATGCATCATATATATATTCTGTTTGTCCATGTGTAGGCCCCCTTTTTTCAACAAAAAGAAAATGAATTAGTGATAATTCAAGAAAGCAGTAGAGAATAACGATTCTTACACATCTAAGCTGTGGATATGGTAAAGCTGATACATATAGTATATAAATTTCCTATTCGCAGCTATGATGCCACACTATTTCTATCCTTTGCTGCAAACGACACACACAGATAAGCCCCGTGAATACCTAAGGCTCGGCAGCTTGGGCGTCCTCGCTCAGCTGTTGAAATCGGTACTCGATCCTATCAGTGTTCTAAACCCTTTTTTATGATGTACTATTAAATTACTCGTGGGTATACCTGCAGCCGGAATATGAAGAAGGGGCACGTTTCCTGATAGATTCTGACGCGGTCAGTTGTTGCCTTCATTGCCTTGGCATTGGCTGTATAGCATCACAGACAGTGAGTACACATTTGCTGAATGAAGGCATCATTGAGAATTTGGTACACGGGTGGGAGTGATGATATATGTATGCAGGTAGCGACATATATACTGCACAAGATACTGATGACGGAGGAGGGGCTGCAGTACTGCTGTGTACTGGCGGAGCGTTACTTTACAATAGACGGGCTACTGAAGAAGCTGATGGTGAAGCTAGCGGGCATGAAGAAGAAGCCTCCTCCCAACTTGTTGCAGCTCGTTGTGGGGTGCTACCTCAGGCTCTCCATGAAATCCAGGTCTCTCCCATCTTCTACTCTTCTTTATAAAAAAAAACAGGTATCGGTTTTATTAACGGAGAAATGTATTTGTGGGGGACGAGAAGGGCGTGCGAGGGGATAAGAAGGTACATACCAATTCTGCTAGTGGACAGCACCTTCGAGGAGTTCCTATCTGTAAGTGTAATTTCATTTGATGAAACCTGTCGTAGTAGAAAAAAGCATTTCATATATGACAGTAAGGAGTGGTGGCAGGAGGATCCGCTGGCCAACGATTACAGGAACAAGCTGCTTCAGAATCTGAGAAACAAAGCGTTTAACTAAATATGCCAGATTATGTATGCTATCTGTCTCACCAAAAAACACAAAACGAATACACACACATATCCACACACACACACAACCCCCAAAAAAGGAACAGAAACTTCCAGAGACTGTTATGTATATGTATGGTATGGACCACAGATGGATGCTCTCTCTCTCTCTCTGATGACGAAAGAATTACGGAGATGAATGAAACCTGCACTTCATTGGGCCTGTTTGGTTAAACAATCATACAAACTAAACCGGACTGAACCGGCTGGTTATTCGGTGGGAGTTGATGGTTTCGCATATAAAGCACTGCGCATTCTAGTAAACTAGTCAGAGATTTAGATCGATTTTGACGGCAGTTTTGACACATTTTCTGGCCTTTTCACACTTGCGTCAATTCAAAGCCCCCCCTTCCTACTTGACCTTCATCTTCCCACGCGCTTCACCGATTTTTCACCCCCATTGACACACCGCGAATTCCAACCAAATCCCAGTTCCAGATTCCTCCTCATCCGCCGGAAATTCGATTTCTTTCGGGAACCCACATCGCTGGATCTCGGCAAATGGCGACCCGCTCGGCGGCGCTCAAGGTAGGATTGGCCTTGCTGGGGCTGGGCATGGTTGGTTACATACTTGGTCCGCCGCTCTACTGGCACCTCACGGAGGCTCTGGCCACCGTCAGCCACCGCTCCTCCGCCTCCTCTTGCCCTCCATGCGTCTGTGACTGCTCCTCCCTGCCTCTCCTCACCATCCCTGAAGGTAATCTAGTTCCCCGCACTCGACGATGTGCTGGCTTAGATCTCGCTAGTACTTGTGGTGCATGTTCGAGATGATCTTTGTTTTGGATCAGCACTTCGTTTCGTGATGATATATATATATCTCAATACTCTGTAGTTACTAGATCTGGTGATGAGCGGATCATGAGTTTAAATCGCGTTGACAGCCAGTAGATCAGAACAGTGATCGGTTCTACCAAGTAGGTGTGGATCCAATGCGAATTCGGTATTACACTTGTTCTGTTTTTTGTTCCTGGGCTAACTCCATTGTTTGAGATCAGCAACAATAACAATTGCATCAGCTGTGGTTTGTATGGTCATCTTTCATCTGCACTTTAGCTTCATGATCTTTGTTGGATCATTTAGCTTCCCAGATTGGTAACCACAGTTTTTTCTAGCTCTGATTCTGTGTCACAGTTACGAGTCTGCATTGTTTTCAGCGGCAGCAGCATCCTTATCAAATACGGATTTTATCTATCTTGTTTGATTACGACACAAAATGATAACTTGTGAGTTCTTTAGTCATGTCATATAGGTTGGCGTTATGGTCGAAATATGCAATCAGTATTACTGGGTGCTCATTTCTATTTGCAGAATTCGTAAATTTACTATTTTTCTCATCAGTATTCCGATTCCGTCTTATTTTTTGGAAAAAGGTTCCAAGAAATGGAAGCCTTACCTGTTTTCCTTGCTTTTACTTTCTTGCAGGACTGAAGAATGCTTCTTTTGCCGGTCAGTCTCTCTCTCTCTCTCTCTCTCTATCATGAGTTGGTTTTGATGGACATTACTAGCACTGTATTGCTGTTAAGAGAGTATAGCATTTGTTGAATACGCTCTGTAAGTGATGTATTAGATGAGTCTGGTACCATCTTGGTTGTTTCAAAATGATTTTCTTTGTGGCTTGTCTCATTTCTTGGATAACGTAAAGATCACTGACAAGTTTCGGTTATTATAACCCCCAAAAATCTTAAAGAAATGTTGTCTTTTGATACAGAATGCGTGAAGCGTGATCCAGAGGTGAATGAGGACACGGAGAAGAACTTTGCTGAGCTGCTAACCGAGGAATTGAAACTGCGTGAAGCGGAATCGTTGGAAAAGCAGAAGCGAGCGGACATGGGATTGTTAGAGGCAAAGAAGATAATGTCGTCATACCAAAAGGAGGCAGATAAGTGCAACTCTGGGATGGAAACATGCGAAGAAGCACGGGAAAAGGCGGAGGAAGCTCTCGTGGAGCAGAAGAAGCTAACGGCTTTGTGGGAGACGAGGGCTCGTCGGAAAGGATGGAAAGAAGGAGGAGGATCCACCAAATCAAATGGTAAGAGCAAGAAGAGCAGTGTCCAAGTTGCTTAAGAACGCAAACAAAAAATGATGATTCAGGCCAAACAAGATGAAAGTAACTGTGAAGGTAATACGTCTTTAGTTGTCTCACACGGTATGGATTGAAAATGTTGTAACAATAACAAGTGTCTTGAACCTTGATGAAAGTTTCATAATCCTATTTTCTTGTTTTTCATCTCACTTTTGGCGCCACACACACACACACGCACGCATATACATTCGTGCATGTATATATAAATTAGCCTTGTCAAAATTCATTTCGATAGCGATAATGGCGTAGTAGGCAACCCACCCCGTTTTGCTTAGCCCCCGTCCGACCTGTGAGTCAGATATTCATCGTTGGCCAAAATCCGACTTTTGCGTTTAGAACTGAAGGGTATTTAGGATTTTGGTTTGTCCTCACCTTGTTTAGTCTCGGGCAAAGTCTATCTCTGAATCTCTTCTTGGTCTCGGTTTCACCCCCCTCTCATTCTCTCTCTTCTCGGTTTTTGCCTTGCCTCCCTCGTCCACCGGGTACCCAATGCCACGCACTAACTCCCATGAGTGCCCGATCTCCATAAGGTTGAGGCTAGATAGTGTCACTGAAAAACTCGAATATCCGATCCATGCCCGCACGAGCAGTTGTAGAATCACATACACTCACAATAATAGAAAGAAAAAAAAATGAAGATGAGATGCCATTTAAAGTTATTTTACACCAAACCGAACAAGCATCTATGTCTGGCTAGCAAAGTTCTTCACAAACTAATAATGGCACAACACAGAGGGTCACGTCTTTCCTTCGACGATCTCAATTGTGTGGAAAGTAAAAGGAACTACACAGCATAATCATTCAGTCAGCAGATGAGGAAATCCACCGAGAATTCTTGAATACACACATAGAGAGAGGAAAAAACATCAACCTTCTTCTCTCTTCACAGTTTCTCTATTTCCCTACTTGAAATAGGAATTTTAATAGTAAGATCATCTAGGTTCGAGTTGTCCTGAAGGCAGAGACCGTGCTCGTTGGCCAAATGGAGCAAACAGATGAAACAAAGGTGAGGGGAGATGTCTCGGGTGCTCCTTGCCGCTTGACAGTCACTTGGGAAGCTTTCCAATAGTTGCTTGAATGATCTCATTTCTTTTCCGTCATCCTCATCCTTCTTTCACAAGCAAATTATCGGTAAGGGTTTTTTTTTTTTAACAATGGGAGAAAAGGTCGCTAACAAATGAGATTCTTAAATAAAGGTGAAAGCTTTACCTGACTATGAGGTTCAGGAGATTCTTGAATGCAGTCCCAAAGAGTTTCCTTGAGTACTTGCACATCAACTTGTTTTGAAGTTTTATCGTATTGGACCTCGATTTTGTTGACCTAATTCATGAATACATGTAATTACGACAACTGTATGTTGCTGACAAAAACATTCTGAAGAGACATATCCAACAAAATCAGTGATGTAATGTCAAAAATCTACCTGGGGTGGCTGAGAGACTAATGAATTGGCATCCTCCACATCACTTTGATCATTTCCATTATCAAAGGGACCATCAAATGCATTCTCATTGTCCCATGGTTCCACAGGTTGGTAATCATCCTGCTGCCTTGATTCACCTTTTGAATGTGCAAATAACAAATGGATTATGACACAAGTAATTTCTTGAACACCAAGAACAGGCCTTCTTACTAGAAAAGTTTGCCAAAGCACAAGCACATCTTATACCCGGTCAAGATAACAAGGATGCTGATATTTTTGTTATAAATCCGAGAGGACACTACTGATGAATTCATTATAACTAGAAATGTTACCTGAGAATTTTCTCCTCCTCCCAAGGCACTGTGAACATTCAGAAGATTTACTTCAGAGAAGAGATAAGAGATACCACAGACTAGAAAGACATTAACTGAATCATTGTACAGTAAGTTACCATCACATTTGGCAGTAGAAATAGTTTAACGAGATTCTCAGGTTGATAATGGCAATCTTCGGGAAGCTTGGTCTGACAAGGCACTCTATTTGCTGGCAGAAGTAACGACTTTGGGTTTTTTGGAGGCATAAAAATATCAGGTGTTTCTTCATCCAAAGCTTTTGTAAAATCTAGTTCAGGTTCTGCTTGCTTTTTTCTCCGTGGTTTCTTTTCTGGCACTGGAGATCCAATCTCTGTAACAAGATGATCCTCTGGGCCTGTGAAAAAGAATCCAGTGATCGGAAACCCGCAGAGAAGCTGAACAACCACCAACAGAAAATTGCTTCTACTATCATTTGAAATTGACATGCAAGTTTATACCTTTAGTTTTTTTGAACTTCCAATGATCAGGACCTGCCCAAGAATTTTGTTTCGACGAAAATCCCAAACTCAAAAACAGATATTCATCAACATTCTCAAATCTGTCACCTAAATCTGGCTCTTGGAATGATGATGGTTCGACTTCCTGCAAAGCCAAAACCTCAGAATCAGTTTTCCAGTAACAAAAATTGGAACGGGGTATCAGACATATTAATAGAAACAAGTAAACATCAGAATGAACCGTAAAAATAATAACCTCATGATAATTTGAATATGTTGGTTCGGCATCATTGACGCCAAGATGTTCCTCAACAGTGCTAGGGTAACCCTCATGATCATAAGAATAAGTTTCAAAGTTCTCATATGCCTCGTCATCGTCTACGTAACCCGTTACACTTTGTGAAGCATCAACTGGTTCAGTCAATTTCTGACCACAAGAAAATGTATCAAGAGGCCTTTGATTCTCTTCATCAAATTGACTTATTATAGTCTGAAGAGATGGTGAAATCTCATCCTTCACTCGCATGTTTAGCACCATTTGTTGCACATATTCTACACATTACACAGCACATATCAGATTGAAAAAACTAGTGCAACAAGACCCGCACAACGATATATAGCAATAAATAACGGTGTATCGACAATAAAATCAGACCTTTGGCAAAGGATATGTCAATTGTTTCTGATCTATCAGGCTGATTTGCGAATGAAACAAGCTTTCCAGGAATTTCTTGTGAATCAAAAAGCACTTGGCACCCACCATAAACTCCTAAATTGTTTAGCAACAACCCCTTCGCTCCACCTTCATCAAACTGTGCTGATGTCTGATGATAAAGTGGATCCACAGCAAATGCCACTGTAAAAACAAATATCATTCCACAGAAATTATTTTCAGACAACAGAACAGACAAAGAGAGTTAGGATGAGCAATCACCATCGAACTTCTTTACATTAAGAGCCTCGAAAGAAGGTTCCAGCGTTGATAAAGGTGATATCTGCAAGTGAAACATTGTCAGCCAGTAGTTTCACCTGCTATTTCCAGTTCCGAGATTTCTGTATAACTACCTTTTTCTCAGTCTGTTTCTTTGGGTTACTCTCATCATCTACCAAACCTGCATTAGCCTCCACTGTGCTGTCTGGATTGAGAGAATATTATCAGAAAAGAAAAAATAAAACAAAAGGTCGTGCAGTACTTTCTGAATAAGGCCAGAAGTTCTAAGCATAGCCAACAATCGATGTTCTTTGAATATCTTCGTACCCCTGAAATTTGATTTCCAGTTACATCCACGTCTATATAGAAGTCAAGAACTTGGACAATGTCATCAGAAACTTAAACATGCACATTAGTGTGCCTAGCAAATCCTAAAACTAGTTTGGTCTATCAAATCAATCAAAATAATTGAATATACATTCTCTATGGATTAACAAAGTCAATTGTTGACTGCGAAAAACTTCAAATGACGATTTTATTAAAAAAAAATGATAAGCTCTGGTGTATGAGAAATCTAACCCTCACTGTCATCCTGGCCCGCTCTATTAATTCCACCCAGGACCTTATATGCCTCAGAATGAACTGAATCCACCCTCAATGAGTAAATCTTAACTCCAGCTTCAAGAGTGCAACTTGCCTGTAACAGATACATATTTCTTAGCAATGAACTTCTTTTTCAGTTTTTCTTTTTGGGGGTCTGATGAAGCAAATTTGTATGGAAAGACAAACATCCAAAGAAGGTGCGTAAAGAGAAGCTTACCTTTTGAAAATTTGTTTCAGCAGTGTCCTCTTCTTCAACCTTAATAATCTCACAGAGATGGTCGATCAAATTCAGCTCCCACGTATTCTTTTGATTGATTTTCTGTGTAACACAAAACCCAGAAGAAAATCAGAACATACCCGCTGATATGAATTGTAAAACATCACATCCCTTAATACGCAAACGTAACTTAAAAGAATATCTCCTCTCCCCAGAAAATCTGAAAATGCAAATTCAATCCTGATAGTTTCAGTGGAGCCAAACTAACCGAAGGTAAGCCTTCAGACACTAATCGACTACTTCTACGGTCACGGAAAAAAGGAGAAATTGGAATTGAAAGTACTGACGTTTTCACTTGACAATTTGATGCAGTTCTGGAACAACTCGAGGATCTGCCGTTTGTCGAAACAGGGATCGAGTTCCTTCTCCGGTGGTGGAGCGCAAGCGAAAGCAACAGACTTACGGCGGCTAGCGGCGGCTCTGGCAGCGCGCGCCTGCTGCAGGGGACCAACCTTTATATTTGTTTTGTTGATCCTTTCCGCACGTGACGCAGATGCACTCAGCCGGAAACGGATCTTGGCTGCTATCCGTACAGTGACTTCATCTCGCAGCAAA